CCCCTCCCCAAAAACGGGGTCCAGCTCTTTGTTCGCCCCTTTCTCTTCTCTTTGCTGTACAGAATTTGAGGTGGGGGGGGCGCAGCGGCGGCTCGGCAGCATGGACCCCCCCCCAAAACCGTGCTTGGCTTCCCCCGCCCCCCCCCCCGGGGACCCCCCCTTCAGTGTCTGTCCTGTGTAATGAAGTGCCAAGACCACCCATCCCCACCCCCTCTCCCCGGACACCCCCCAGGGGCCCTTCTGGAGCGCCCCCAGACCCACCAGGACCCCCCCAGAAACCCCAGGATCGCCCCCCCCGAGCCCCCCCGACGCTGGAGGTTGCACATGAACTGCTGTTGGGCGCGAGGGAGCGTGTGAATAGTGAAAATAAACACAGAGTTTGTAACAGCCGCGGCCGCCGAGCCCCAAAACCGGCCCGGGGGGGTGGGGGGCGTGCGGGGCCGGCCCCGCCCCTTCCCCCCTTTTTTGGGATGCGGAAGCGCCGCCCCCGCCCCTCGCCCGCCGCTCTCCGCCCCCTTCCCGTGGCGTCAGCGCTGCCCTAATTTGGGCATGGAAACGGAGGGGGGATCCCCGGTAAGGGGCGGGGGGGCACGGGGGACCCCCAGACACACCGGAGGGGGCACAGGGACCCCCCCCCAAACACGCGGGAGGGGGCACAGGGACCCCCAAACACGCGGGACGGGGTACAAGGACCCCCAAACACACGGGAGGGGGCACAGGGACCCCCAAACACGCGGGAGGGGGCACAGGGACCCCCCCCAAACACACGGGAGGGGGCACAGAGACCCCTCCCCAAACACGGGACGGGGCACGGGGGACACCCAAACACACGGGAAGGGGCACAGGGACCCCCCCAAACACACGGGACGGGGCACAAGGACCCCCAAACACGTGGGAGGGGGCACGGGGACCCCCCCCAAACACACGGGACGGGGCACAAGGACCCCCAAACACGTGGGAGGGGGCACAGGGACCCTCCAAACACATGAGAGGGACACAGGGATCCCTCAAGCCTGGGCGGGGGGGACAGGGGATATCCCCGATCCACGGGGGTCCCCCCACCTCGGAGTGTGGGGGGGGGGACCCAGGACCCCCCCAGCCCATGGCGGGGAGCGCACGGACCCCCCCAAACCACGGGGAGGACTCCACCTCGGGGGTCCCTAACCTTAATCCTCCCCCCCCGAATTTTCACAGGGACCCCAAATCCATGTGGGGGGATACAGACACCCCCCCACCCCGCTCCACGGGAATTCCAGCTCCCCATTGGGGCACGGAGTTCCCCCGGACCCGTTTCCGTTCCCGGCGCCACCGAGACGCGGCTGAGCCGCCGCGGGGCCGGATGCGGTGGCGGAGGCGGGGGGGGCCGGGGCGGTCCCGGAGCCGCCGCGGGGCCGGATGCGGTGGCGGGGGGGGCCGCGGGGGGGTCAGGCCGGTACAAGAAGCGCGGCGGGGCCGTCCTGGAGCACTCGGAGCGGGGACGCTATGGAGGAGGCGCAGCGGCTGCTGACGGTGTCGGTGTGGAAGCTGTACCGCTGCCGGCTGCGGCGGGGCGGGCTCCGCCTGCACCGGAGCCTGCAGCTCTCGCTGCTCGTCCGCGCCGCCCGCCACCGCTACCTGAGCGCCCGAGCCGCCGCCGAGACCCTCCCGGGGCCGGAGCTGGCTGGGGCCGCGGCGAGCGGAGCGACCCCCGAAGCGGGGAGCGACCCGAGCGGAGACCCGCGGTGCCCGAACACGCCGAGCGCGGACAGACCGAGCCCCTGGACCGACCCGAGCGGAGACCCGCGGTGCCCGAACACGCCGAGCGCGGACAGACCGAGCGCCTGGACCGACCCGAGCGGAGACCCGCGGTGCCCGAACAC